TAAAGATTTACCTGAAGGGCTTCAGAGATAAGTATACAGACAAGGACTGTTAGGAAGGCACATGACACTTTTAATAGTTTAAAACAGTATTTTCCCTTTACTTTTAAATCTGTGACTAATGCTAAAAATTCTCATTTATATAATTTTTGATGCATTCTATTTTATTATGTTTGACTGGATTTTCTTTTTTTTTAAAGTTTCGTAGCTCTTATTTAATTTTCAAAAGTGATCCTGGTAGTACTCCAGAATCTGAACAGCCAAGTAAAACTGAGATGTAAGAGTCCATCCATCTATTTAAAAAATAGACAATGTGGTACTGTATCTACAAAGTATGTGTGTGTATGAATCCTACCATGTGACCAACCTTAGAAATATATCTGAAAAAAGAGTATTTTCAGACTGTTTTGAAAGCTTGTTGTCTTGTAAGAGAGAGGACACATATTACAGGGCAGCTTAGCCAAGTTAATGGCACCACAGATGGGGCAGCCCCAAACCCTTTCTTCCAGTCACCTACCACCATCTCCTGCTCTTTCTCTTGTTCACTGACAATTTTCTGATTTTGTAGATAGGCAGCCCAGCAAGCTAAACTCTGGAAAATGCAACCTTCAGAAACTGAAGAGAATTTTCCATCAATTTGGCTCCCCAAAGTGCCTCACTGTAACGTCAGATGTATTAATGCCAGTTTAAAGACAGTGATGGAAATGCACAGGTAGGAATGGGAGAAAAGGGCTTCCAAACCCAACAAACTCATAGAGCACTGCAGTGCTGTAAAGCTGCATCCTTTGCCTCACAAGCTGGTGTCTCTCACACCATGGCTGAAGCTGTTCTTCTAAGGTATGATTACAGAGCCACACATACAGGTAGCATCAGGACACAAGTCACGAGCAGGATCCACTTATCTGGGGGGATCCTCACTTGGCTGACATGAACAACTCCCTCTCCAAGTAATGGTTAAATCCTCGCTTTAGGAATAATGGTAATTCTGTGGATTTGTGTTACCGTATGATATAGTTTTTAATAGTGTCGCAGAAAAGAGAGAAATTACAGATTACAAAGGTTTCTCACTTCTCTCAAGCTCCTCCAGCAAATTTTCAGCATGTACACAAACCAAAATCAACACGCTGTTCTCCATCATGTGCTATAAACTAATGACTATTGGAGTCAAAAGGACAGAAGATAGGCTTGTGGGTAAAAGCTCTCGAAAGTCCTTGTATGATTTTTACACAGTGGCCTTTGTTCTAAAAAGCACAAGATTAAAAGCAGGTACATGATTCAGTGCCCTGCTGAATGGACTCCCTGCTGCATGAAGGGCAAGCGCGATGAAAGGGGACCCGTCATGGTAAAAGCGGCAGAGGGAAATCCTTTACATCCCCCTTTCCCCTCTCCAATCACCTATCTTCCTATGGAGCTTGGCAGATCCTCCATGAGGCAATTATATCCATTAAGCCAGCAGACAATGCAGCTGTCATAAAAAAGTTGAGAGTTTTCTGCTGGATTGATAAACTTGAGTTGGTTTTCGGAAAAGGTGTGGAGATTGGCAGAGCTGGCACAACAGAATAGCCAGGGATGCGTGGCCAAGAACAAGGTAGAGAAAAGGGGAGTTTAGAGAAGTGACAACTGGTGAGGAAATCCTGGAGCAGTGACATGCCCAGCAGCCACCTCCCATGGCCAGCCTGGTTGCGATTGCAGTGAGGCCATGCAACCCACGCCAGCTAAGGCAAAACCGCTTAGAGGCTCTTCTCAGAAGAGCTTTGAGATCATCTGCCAGAAGAGAAGGGACTGATTTAAACGTTACCTGAGATCAGGTCTTCAGGAATAACATAGACAACAACTGTTAGATCCAGGGACATGCAAGTTTTGCGCTACTGCTGGGACTGGCTAGATAAGGTACAGGGTAGATAACAGATATTCTTCCTTTTCCAGTGTGAGTGAAGCTGGGAGCATGTTTATGGCCCATATGCTTGCCCTAATTTAGTTTCCTCCCCTCCCCTCACTGGAAAAGCTAATGCCGAAGTCGAACGCTTCTCTTGCTCAAAATGCCAATGTCACTGCATCTTTCTGAAACATGACCTCTAACAAGTCTCTGGCTTGGAAAATAAGGGCTGAGTTGTCGCAAAAGACAATTTTCAGTTAAGTTGCCACTAATTACAATGGAAATAATAATATGATTTAGAAGGGACCAGTAAATTATTTTTTTTTTTAATTTTCAGCAATGAAGATGAAAGTAATTTTGGGTTGATTTAAAGGTGTTACAGAGATACAACAGCTAGCGTATAGGTCAGTCCTCGAATGCATGTAAAAATTACATTAGAGGAGCACATTTTGCTTTCATTCCCAGCCATCTCCCATTCTGACAAAGGTGACATCAAAATTGGCTGTTGCTGCCCTCCTTCCTCTTAAAAAAGTACAATTGCACTTTTTAGCATAAACCTGTAAGCACGCAGTTGATCTACTGGGGATGAGTAAACACCAAGCATGCCTCTGATGCTTTAATTCTGTTGGTTTTCCTAGATCATTACGAATTTAAATTTCTGGTGAAATATGGTGGTCTTCTCAAAGTTGATACAGATTATTCAAATCCCCAGTTGCTGTAAATCCGCAGAGTGGCTGCAGGTGAGATTTGGGCTCGCTGTTTCTTTTCACTACACAATGTCCATCTCAATGGAAAAAAAGGTTTACCTGGTCGAATTGCTGAGACTGGCAATATCCGATGACCAATAAATTTTCCTCCTTCTTCATACACTGCTAGCCTCAAACATGCCAGGGAAGGTAAAACAACCTAGAAGGCAATATTGTGGCATTATTAACTTTCTGCTCTGAATGAAATAGCTCCTTCCATAGGCTATAGAGCAGACAGAAAGTTCAGTCTAGCAGAAAGTAACACCTACACATCCATAAGAAGGTCTTACTATATAAGAGGTCAGGGTGTATGCACCTGTGTGTCAAAATAACTCTCACAGAAACATTTTTTAAGCAGGAAACTCGAGGTGGGACGTGTACATAGTATGTTGAACCCAGCAATTGGACTCTACGTTTTCAATACGATACAAGGGACTATAGCAGCTCAACTCCTATCACACTTGAATGCTGCTCTGTTTTCTGCTTATTACTCACAGCCCTACATGGTTTTTTCCTTTGTGCTTGTGCCAACGGGATTACTTACTTCTAAGAAAAGTCACCGATAGCTGTATTACAGCTGAAAACTCAACAAGCAACTCAACCTGTTTTGCAGAGTGTGAATGTCTGAATTACATGAACCATGCCAACCCAGCAGAATTTTCCAGTGCTGCAGCATACTCACTGGCTGGTTTAAAGAGGTTTAATCAGCCAGGATGTTTACTAGCATTGGATGCTTTCTTGGCACTATTTAAGAAAGAAGGCCAAACAGTGAAAAAAGAAAACAAGAAAACGCAAAAGGTTACTCAACTACCATATAAGACAGGAAAATCTTTAATACTACTTTTTAAAATGTGTAGCATAAATTTAATCTCATTTTCTTACTTAGTGCAAATATACATACAAATACACATATTTTCAACTTGGGCACAGATACGCATTTTTTCAGAACATATGCTAAAATTTATCTAGACAATGAAAGGAGAAAAAAAAAAGCAACAATCTAAAACTAAGAGCTTCTCTAATTTATTTTCAACATTACTAAAAATAGTAATCTATGCTTCTCTGAGCACAGAGGCAGTCAGGCATGATTGTTAACTGAATAGAGAAATGAAGTACACTAATTAGGAGTTCATTACAGAAGAAAAATGCTAGTGATGTTTCTAAACTTAAGCTCTGGCAGGCTGCCAAATGAAAGTCATTCAGAAGGCCAAATATTCAGGGAAAAGGGCTGTACTCCCTAGAAAGCAGGGCTGCAAGAATCAATTGTATAAACATCTGTGAGTTACACTTGCTGACAGAAATACGAAAGAAATTGTTTTACAAACATTGAGACTCAACATCCATTTAACCACAGTGCCCAATAAGCAAAATCCAGAGATTCTGTTAAAAAACTGGCTGCAAGTGTACCGCGAGGCACAATAAGACATTCACCTTGCATGATCCTAAAACATGCTTAGTATTTTCTGCTCCCTCAAAATTTAGAGAATTGAGTCTCAGTAATATTGTTCAAATTGCATGAGTAACTCAGGAGTCTACGTCTTCTTTCAACTGGATGGGATTTACGTGGTTTCATCACCTAGGTTATATTTATATAGCACAATCTAGCGCTAAGTAGAGATAACAGATTGCTTTGAATGTGCTAGCTTGGACCGCCAGATTGTTATAGCTGTATTCACATCGTCTCGCCTGCAGGTTAACAAGAGGGCTGTTCAGCCAAGGCAAAACACCACGGTAATTCAGCTAAACTGCTGCTGGGATCTGCGCTTCCTCGTTCATTGCACGGCACCGCACCGTGCCATGCAGATGAGTCTATTGATATGTCCGCTGCTTCCAGCTGTGGCAGTGAAACAATCAAGGTGACTTTAGACTCCTTTATTTTAGTAGGAGCTGGCACAACTAGAGTAGCAAAATTATACCAGAAGTGCTTAACAATAAACAGCTCAAGAAACAACTATTCAGAATCTCTTTTTCTTCTTTCTAACACATGCAAAGTTTCAGTAAACCACAGAATTACCTTACTGGACAGCGATAAACCAAGCACAATGCACATTTGGGAAGCAGGTGTCACACCAACCTTCTTAAACACTATAGTTTCCTCTTCCCAGACGGGATTGACTGCATTGCCTTGAGAGGTCTTGGTCTTCAAAGCTTTTCTTCTTGTGTCCACAGGCAGGCCAAACATGTCGACTTCGACATAGGTACCAACTTTTTTATCAGAAAGAAACTGACCGGAAATTATCTAAAACCAAAGCAAAGGAGGATCACTACAGACCGCTTTGCTGGACTAAGAAACGAGTGGCTGAAATGCAGATGGATCATTCTCATTCATGATCAGACAGTGTGCATCTAAAATAAAACCAAACCAAAACCACAATAAAAAAACAAAACAAAACAAACACAACCACTGTTTAATATTGCAGACACAAAAGCAACTTCTGAGGCCTGGTTTCCTGTGACTCTGTGGTCCTGAATTCCCCTATGAGCAATAATGTGGTTGAGATCATGCTGCTGC